GTAACATAATCCAAGCTAGCGCCGAAAAGGTGAATTCAAAATGGCGGCCAAGCAGTAAAAAGACCCAGGAGCTTTTTTTTTCTTCAAGTTTTACGTTTTTATTTGTAAGATAATTTAAGAAAACTACATGCAAGAGTAGCGGGGGAAAAGAACTATGTAAAGGGATTAAATATAGTTGTGAAAACTACGTCCGTGGCATAAAACGTAAGCATTTGGTTAATTCTCTTCTTTCACATTCCCATAATGCCTTGCGTCTTTGGGGGGTAACCAATCAAAAAACTGTCCCAAATTGAAAGGTTTCTTAATTGAATTTATACTATACCTGCTTTTATCTGTACAATGATGATTATCAGTTTATTCCAAGTTATTTTTGCGTGTATAGACCATCAAGAGTTTTGGCATTACAGAAAATGTATTGACTTACGAAAAAATGTTTAAAATTTACCTTAAACGTCTTCAAGCTTCTATCTTTTTCTGTTTTTTACTTCTTCATTTTATNAGGCACGTTAGTCAAAGATCATTAGGGTTGACTATGACCTTGATGAAGCTCTATGTCTTCATCTAAACTTGGATGCATACTTCATCCCTGATGAAGTCATCCTCATAGTATTCGAGTGGTCTTTATATAAAGATCACATGTATCTTTATATAAAGACACATGTGACTTTATATAAAATCACTTGAATACTAATGGAGAGGACTTTATCGGGTATAAAGGTTCATGCACGTGACATATATGGTGGCTCCAATTGGACCATAAGCTTATGAATTATTAATGAGTGTTTTAAATTAAAACTACCAGTCTTTATGTGATTGATATCCCATATTCTATGCCTTTTATGTAAATTATCAGATAATATATTTTTGCCAAAAAGTCATAGAGTACTCTTAGAAGGGTACTGCTATGTTTTACCAAGAAAAACTTAATTCCCTCACTCGATCAAAAGTGTATACATGGTGTTCCTTCAGTAYTAGAGGTTCCATGTTTAGAAAGCTGCAGTCAAATTATCCTAAAATCATGAAAAATTTGAACTTTTCCTTTTCAAGTTTCCAATGTTGACAGCTAAAAATATACATTTTTTTAGTGCACAGCTAAAAAAAGATGTTGACAGAGCCACAAGATGACTTTTTGCATAAAAGTACAGCTAGCTACAGAAAAGTAGTTGTAACTAACCTGCTTTGACAGKGAAAATGGGACGAATTGAATCAGTAATACATTTGACCTGTTTTATTTTTAGTACTTTATTTCCTTTCATTTCTTTATCAGTCAGTCCACATGCTACCGTACAAGCATTATTTATGTTTTAGTGAAAAACATGTTATTATTTTACAATAATTTATACACAAGTTACAAGTCAGAATATTATTGAATTCTGAAGAATAGTTTACTCACAAAAAGCTTGACTGTACTTAGAAATGGGGGAGGGGGGGTGAGGGCTAGTGCATTTCACTTTAGATCTGCTTGTTTTTAAGAGTCCCTTCCCATATTGCTTCTATAGAAAAATTGTTTCCCCATTATATTTTACATAAATTGATATGACATATAACCCTCAAAAAATAACCCTGCCTTAAAAGAATGATTGCAAGAAGGAAAGTATCTGAGACAGCACAGTCTACTTTAAAAAAGGAATACATTCCAAGATTTTTGGAAGRTGTTACAGGTCATAGTAGTGAGAAAAATGAAGAAAAAACCCACAATGGACCGATGGCTTAGCTTGAGTGTCCACCCAAACAATGGCTAGTTTTCCCAACAGAATACAGAATGTCCGACCAATAAACTTGCATTCATAAGAATTTTTAGTACGAATCAATTTTTTTTAAATGTACCTTTAGAATGCATGGATTCTAAGACAGACATTTACAATTTTGAGCAATCGGTGCCTGTTTAAAAACGTCCGCAAAGGGCAAAAGCCCTAGCACTTCCAACTTTCACGTACGAACGAGTGGTGTGTATAATATCGCTCGTAGCAAAGCCGCTATTCAATGACAGCTCTCGAGAAAGCACAAAACCTTACCTTAATAATAGAGGAACATGTTAGTRTATATTTTTCTACATAAATATAGTGAGAATTTGAGTTTTTCAACTTTTTCCGAATGTGATTTGGTTTGTTTGTTTTTCATCACTTGAAGCAGTGCTTATAAATACAGATTTGAAGTCAAAAACACACACAAAAAACATAAAGACATAAACGAAAACTTTAGCAGGTAATGGAACAACAGCAGCAACTAACGGTAGCAACTACCTCTGCATTAACAGATAATAATGGGATTAAAAGTATGAAAAACTTGTCATATATTTCTGACAYGTTTGTCTGACATGTTTGAATATTTTTTCGCCCAAATGAGCTCGAGATATACAAAACAACAACTATAACGCTTTCCTACCTTTTCTTGAGTTCCATATTCAAGTTTTTCACGCTGAAATGATCCTCAAATACGAATGTTTGGAGAAGAAAAGCAAGAATTATAAGACCAACAGCAAACTTTACAGACAGCGAGCAAGACATGGATAATATACGGTACGGGGGTCCTGTGTCAAGATATGACCGGGAGGGAGTGAAACAACACAGGGCTCCCAMCGAAAACCTATCCCTGGGTCGCTGGGTCGAGCCCTGCGGTCGCTAAATGTACATTGTGTTTRTTTGGTGTTTTTCTCTCCTTTCCTTTCCCTGCTAGCAGTCTCCCTCGTTTGCGATTCTTGGCAGAAAAAATGGAAAGTCTCCCATCAAACATCGCAACTCTCATCAAACGTCGCAAACGAGGAATTTATTCATATATATATATATTTATTACAACTACCACTCCCCGTACTGGGCTCTTCCGTGAGGTTCCCTCCACACGCACTACACCACTACATTCTATATTTACATTGTCACTCACATGTTGCTTTTTACGGAGGAAACCGGAGAACCCGGAGAAATCCCTCATGACAAGGGAAAGAACAACACATCACACAAACTCAACTCACATATGATCCAGTCTGAGCCAGGGCTCAAACCCGGACCACAGTGGTGAGAGGCGAGCGGTAAACCACTACGCCACCCATACCAACCAATCATCGTCCAAGGAGGATTCGCGTGCGTCGATAACTGGCGAAGCCTTGCAAAGAGGTCAGTAATAAATCCAAGTTCCCCTTTTTGCACTTTGCTTGGAAAGTTTTGCAAAAAAAAAAAAATTCCGGCACTTTTATTATAATTCCCTTTTTGTGTAAAGGAAAGGAGAAATCCAATCTAACACTCGAGAGGTGAGAAGCCAGTTCACTAACGCTTACACGTAACTGATTCCCAATAGCYTGCGCAGTGCAGTTTCTTTGCATTCCTACAACCTTCTGCGTACCATCACTTCTTAAGCTTCGCAAACAAAAAAGAAAATGACGAAAAATTACACAAAAAAACTGTTTAGTTTGTTTATGCTTTATTTTAAAATTTGATGATTGTAATTTTCTATTCTATATTACACGGTATCAAATCATACAATGCAGATGTAGAATTAGAACCAGCTAGTCGCCCGTGCATAAAAACATMTATTCAAACTATTTCAAAAAACTTTGTCATCGAAAAAAGCGATAGACAATAACAAAAAGCGATAGGAGATAGGTCATTCAAAGATCCAAGAATAGCTGGAATGACTTGTGTTTCTGCTTCTTATTCTCGTCAAGAGTATGGACCTTCGTGCTGGTACTGATTCGATGTTCTTTGTATTCAACGAAACCATTTCCATGTCGGAATGACCTATCGCCTAACGCCTTTGGCGATGCAAACTTTGATTGAAATAGGTGTATAATCTATAATCTAATAATATATAAATATATAAAAACATATAAATTAAGATCCAGATTTGAATTTCAAAAAATCTATTTTAGAGAGGGTAATACGTGACTACAATATTGCCAACTTAGCACCTATGAACGTGTCGCCCTCTATGCTTTCTATGTTTAACGTCTCCAATAATTGAGACAGGACCGCCATTTTGTGGTATCCGAGCCACGGCGAAGAAGAGCTTACTATTTGCAGATATTTTTAGAAAGCAAGGGCCTCTTTACAAGGAGGTAGGGTTACCCTAACACTAGGGCTACCCTAGCTTCAATACATTATCTCGTATTTCGAATTCTAACGCCTTTACGATTTATCATAACCCAGCAAATGACTGTCTGTTGGATTGCAATATTAACTGGTAAAAGAGATTTTAGAGTCAAAATCGCCGCCAATATCTTGTGATTTACATTCCTATCGTAAAGTTACTCCAGGCACAAGATTTACCCTACCTATATTTTTTCCTTGTAATGCAGAGCTATCTATTGACCCTATTACTAGGTTACCTACCTGCTTGTAAAGCGGGCCTAAGGTAAGTTACGTTTTGTATTGGTTGGGAGAGGGCTGGGGGATTCGTAGAAAACCTTTCTTTAAGTGGTTAAATTGTAACCATCCGTTTTTCACTTAGTAAGAAATTCATGACCCTAGCATTAAGTTAGCAAGGAACTACCTTTTGTTAAAAGATTTGACCCTCGACAAAAGTTCATATTTTTAGTGATGACCCTCCCCTCTAAAGCCCCCCCTCCCCCCAAATAAAAACGTATCTTTCCCTTATCCGTATACCACTTTCATATATGTGATGTGCGGTCACCCTTATYGGGAATGATTATTTTCATGCAAATATGCATTTTTAAATATTGAGTAAAATTCTCAAGTGCTTTTTGAATAAAGCAATTCGTTGAGTTTTGATAAAAAGAAGCCTCTGCCCCTAAAAATCACTCCTAAAAATTAAAAGATAAAAGATAAAATTATCCATAAAAATTAAAATGCACTGAGTGCTTTCGAATAAAACTTTTTTTGATTTTTAATTTGTACGTATGAAAATATATCATTCTCTCAGTCTTCATAACTAAAAATAAAAATAAAACTAAAAATATGTAAAAAAGACAAATGACGCTAAGGCTGCGTTCATAATGTTTGGCAGGGGGGGGGGGGGGGCGGGGGAAAATTTGAAATGTCCAGAAATGTCCCCCCCCCCCCACACACACACACACCATACATTATGAAAGCCTAAATAGTAAATGATGGCATTTCTAAACCGCTAAAAAATACCAAGAACTAATTGATTCTACTTTTAGATCTAAATTGTTTAGACTATAAGTGAGCTGCCAAATAAGCTTCTCTAGTACGTAGAACCTTCTTGTCAACATTAAACATTAATTTACCTGCGCCTTGAAACCCTAGCCTTTTTAGGAGGCTGAGTAGAATTGGAATATGCAAGTCCGTTAACGTGCCGGCCCTTGCCTCTTAGATTCAGGCCGTGCTTTTGGTCCTTTTTTCCTGCGGCAGGCACAACCCTTGAACCACTTTGATCTTGACCATCTGCGGAGCTTGTCCTGTAAGATAATAGTGTCATGACGTAAGTTATATGGTATCAACAACAAGGCTTGAAGCAAAGCAAAATAAGCGTTTAGTTTCAATTAAAAGCATATCCGCCAGACGTCAGTTTTGGTTTCGAACCAATTAATTTTTTAAAATGTTAACTTACTGCAACAAAACTTTGAAAGTTTCCCATAGTTCTTTTAGTTTGTTTATAATATCGACCATTCCCTCGTTCAGCATTTTCTCCTCTTTCAAATAATTTGTAGCTTCTTGAATCTTTTCACTGCTAAGGTCAGGATGGGCGATGCCGACTCTGGCTTGATTAAGGTTTTTAAGGCTATCCACCAAACTTTGATCCCAAGAAATCTTTCCATTCAATTCGTCCAGCCGCTCTCAACACACTGTCTTCTTGATTTTTGGTCTTTTCTAGCTCCTGAAATCTTACTTCCATGTCTCGCAGTTGTTTAACCAACCTTTCATTCTCATCCTTCAGGTYTTGTATTTCATTTTCTAAAGATCTGATCTTTTCTTCAAGGCTGTTTTCATTGCTGCGACTTTCTCTTAACTCTTCCTCCAAAGATAATATCCTTGCCTTATTGCTTTTGATTTCGTTTTCATTGCTGCGAATGCCCAGTCTTAAATCTTCCGTCGAAGATACTATATTTTGCATATGGTTTTGATTTTGGGCCATCTTGGTTCCAGCTTGTTTCTGGAAATAGTGAAAATGCCATGATATTTAAGCTAACAAGGACACACGGTGCCACATTACAGGCATTGCAGGCAATCGATGTTGCTTGCCATGTAACATGACGCAATTTGTTGAACACACCCCTACAACATTGTCTGAAATATTCCGCTCAGTGTTGCACGGTGTCTACCCTTGGGTGCCAGAGGCCCGAGTGGGGTTTGGCCTCAAGCACCCATCATACACCGTGTCTTGGTCGGGGTAAAAAGCTGTAACTGAAACGGCTGAAACAGCTGAAAATCATAAAATCCAAACATTTTATGAATTCAAACCGAAACGTATAAATCCAGAAATGTGTATATAAATATATTTATAGCTAGATTACTACGCGCGCTCTGATTGCCAAAAGCCAATAAACTATTTCCCCATGGGCTGCGCGCTCGCGCACGCTGATCTCAACGGGCGCTCGCCTCTTTTCTCTAGAAAAAAGGCGAGCGTCCGTTGAGATCAGAGTGCGGACGCTCTCCTTTGCTCTAGAGAAAATATAAAGAACTCTTAACAAGCTAGAGTGCACTCGTCTACGCCTCGTGACGCTCTTAACGCTTGTTAATCGCTCTTTATATTTTCTCTCGTGCGTCTATGACGCCATGGGCGCGCGACTTTCTGTTGTCTAATTGATAAAAATTGAATACAATTCAATTTTCACTTTTTTATTTTCAAATACTTCCTCAACAAATTCAGTGGTTTATTGAATTAAAACATTGACAAGTTGTTTATTCTTATCTGCTCTTTATGAATTTGCGTCAGTTTTTCAATAAAATCGTTTTAAATTTTTGAGTGACGTCAGTACAAACGAAGAATAAACAAGAGCCTACGAGCCAAGTTAATCGAATTTTCAAACTGTTATTTATTTTTCGAATATTGAAGACCTCGTTTCAACAATGGGTGTCAGAAAAACGAAGACCGAAGACCGAAGACCCGGAAAAACGAAGACGCCCCCCCCAAAAAAAGTAACATTACAAAGTTACAAAGTTAGATATTCGAGAGTTTATGCTTTCCTCGGCCTCTTGTTTTGTTATTGCCGTTAGTACGGTCCGGACGCCGCCTCGCTGATTCACCCTTTGGTATCTGACGGCCTCAGACAGAGGAAAAGATTTCTGTAGTATTTCCTTGTGAATTAAATATGCTAGTTTGCAGCTAGCGATGAAGGTCATAAGTTAAATTAGCTGTCCTTCATAGAAGACAAATTCTAGCAAAATATTGCGCGCAAAGTTTACTTCTTTCTCGGCTTGCTTCGAGAAAAAGTCAATCATCAGATGTCACTTTTGACAGCTAGTTGCACAGGCACTAGAGAAAAACGTTTGAAGAATTTTGAAGAGTTTGAGTGAGAAAATAAATGTTTGTTTTCTCGAAGTATGCAAAAACGTTTGAGAGTATACTTTTGTCAGACCAAGATAATGTATTAACAAACACAATTGAAAGAATTAGCCTTAAGTTTCAACCATGGACACTAAGTTTTGGCATTTTGCATGATTTTGTGTAGTCCAATTTATCAGGCATGTTTGAAAGTCAAATTTACTTATGTTTTGACTAATTTGCACACGGATTCAGAGCATGCGCAGACGTTAGTTCACTCGTGTGACACAAACAAACAGCTCGTCAAAGAGGTGAATCACGACTGAAAATAGGTTCCCACATTTGTAAACGCATAGTTTTGAAACTAGTAAGCGGCGAAAAAGTTCGCTTTTTCAGTTGCAAAGTTATGATAAAAATAGCATTATGCTGTCAAGCAAATGATACTGCTGTGCATGCCTAAGGAGTTCTTCTTGTTTTGTTTTGTTTTGTTTGTTTGTTTGTTTGTTTTTTTGGTTTCCAAGTCGTAATTTCGGGAAAAAACTATAGACTTTGTACGGATGTACAGTACAATATACCTGTATACGCTTCAAATAAAACCAAAATATCAGAGAAACTAGAAGCTAAAAGAGGTCGACTGTGGTTTTTCAATACTGACTTCCTTCACTACACTTATTCTTAGTCCATTCAATTCCTAAATTAAATGATTTCGACTTCAAACAGAAAGGAGTTTTGAGGAACTTCCAGTAGAATAGAAACTAAGTGAAAAGTAAACGATCACTTTATAAATTTCCCACTTTCAAGCGAAGAAACAAAAGATATATTGTTTACAAAACTTCAAACTTCACACATCTTTAGGAGAAGGCCTTCCCTTTCCATATCCTTGAAACAAGCTCTTCCTCTTTAGTTTTAAAGGAAAAAATGATTTTTCTTCAGCAAGACCTTGATGAAGGATCAACGAGGCGTCCGTACTAACGGCAATAACAAAAAAAGAGGCCGAGGAAAGTATAAACTCTCGAATATCTAATAAGCCAAGTTGTTATTTTGTAATTTTGTGATGTTACATTTTTGGGGGCCGGGGATCTTAGTTTTTCCGGGGTCTTCGGTCTTCGGTCTTCGTTTTTCTACGCATGCATTTAATAAGAATCCAAATATAAAGTACTGTAAATAAAGTATCAAAATATATAAATCGAATAATAACTTACGATTATTCCCACGCTATTATACTAACTGGAAGTGATTGGCTTAACAACGATGGACTTTCTTCGCCAAACTGGTCTTAAAACTTCATATGACCTCTCTAAGAAAGCCGAAAATTTTTTGTGACGACTTAGCAAATGTGGGTCTTGATTTATCTAAAATATATGTTTGAACTAGACTCTACAGTGTTTTCTTTTAGTTTATTGTTGCCAAAAGGAAGAATTTTAACAATTTGACAACTTGACCAACTCTTTGTTCCTCTCTGAACATGCCCCAACAAGTCAGCCATGTATATTAAGGATTCTTTCCGGGGTTATTACTGAGTTAAAAAATTAGCAAAAAACCCTTACATCTATTTATATACTGACGATGGCTGTCAAAAATGTCTGTAAAATCTTAAAGTGCTACTCTGACGACAATCGCTCAAACTTGGATTCACTGAGCTGAAACTTCCTAAGAATTCTCTTTAAAGGTCCAATAATCACTGTATGAAGTGTTTTCTCGATATTCAGGACGAAAGTATGATATTTCTATGATTATTGATTGGAGCCTGTGACGTCATACACTCAACATCAAACATTGCTACATATATTTCTTTGTATATAAATCCTTAATTTATTTTATTCCTATGAAGCCCAAAGGGTAGCTAATGTGATTATTTCACATTACTTGTGACTATAATTTATATTTTGGGGTGTTTGGGTATTTCTTTCTCCCTTTCCTACTGATATTTGGTCATAAACTACAAAGAAATGTATGGAGCGATGTTCGATGTTGAGTGTATGACGTCACAGACTCCAAAAAATAATCGTAAAAATATCATACTTTYGTCCTGAATATCGAGAAAACACTTCATACAGTGATTATTGGACCTTTAAAGAGTATTCTTAGGAAGTTTCAGCTGAATCCAAGTTCAAGCGATTTTCGTCAGAGCAGCACTCTAAAAGTGTGGCGTTTTTGAAGTCCTTTGTACTTGCTTGTCTTACGTAAATAAATGTTTTAACACAGGCAACCCAAGCTCACTACATTAATAAGAGAATGTGAATAACAATTTTGTCGACCATTCAAAACTCGCTGAAACTGCATACGGGAGTTCAAAATAAACAAAATGACACAACAGGTAAGTCGACAAACTTTCATTTGCGTTTAATTTTATTTTTTCAAATAAAATACGGCACATTCCGGCTAAATCTCCATACATTCTCTTGTAAATGTAGTGAGCTTGGGTTGCCTGTGGTTTTATCTTCGTGTTTTTTCATACTCCTTTCAGATTAAGAAACGAAAATAACCGAAGGTTTGTCATCAAGTTGGTCCTCGTTTAGCGTGTTGCTAGTTGTGGCTGTCACGGTGGTTTTTCTCTTTTCTACTGACCCAAAACCAAGGCATTTCAGTCGACTTTCTCTTCTCTGTGGAGTAGAATTGTTCTTTTCTTGGAGTAGTTTGGCTTGCAAGTTGGCTACCTGGTTAGACAAACGTTGTATTTCACCCTAAAATGAAAGTAATTATTTCTTCTAAGCTTTATTGTATAGAGGTTTTGCACCATCAMGTGCCCATCCCATTATACGGCTTGGGCTTCCTGTGGTTAGATGGCAGAACAAWAACGTCCCTTTGCTCTCGGGAATTGAATTCTTTCTTATGTAAAACGATTGTATTGCTCCTGCCATCTAACATGGCTGCCGTCACGTGGTGGTGCAAAACCTCTATTCTGTGTTAGGTTTTCTGTTTAGCAGGGTATTGTTTATCTCCCGGAGGGAGGGAGGGGTACTCACATATATTTGCTATATGGGTATGTGCTAATGGAAAGGGTATGGGTTTTGGCCTTTGCTGTCTTACACATGGAATACATTCTACAGGAAATTGTCTTAAACAGGGTCTATAATTTTGACACAAGTAAGTTTCATGCATGTTTTTGTGTGTCTAGGATGAGGTACTATTTTATAAAAAACGTATTTTGACAACAAGGYGCCTCATTATTCGGTCCTGACAAAGTTTATCAGATCCTTGACGGCCTTGTTATTAAATCCTATAACACTGGGTGAGATGTGTGCCTTATATAGGGTATACGATTTTTTGTATGTCTTCAATAGGGTTTGGACTTTTCACTCTGAAGRTTCAGTAAATAGGGTCAGGGTTTTATACCYCTGGCTCAAAATGGGGTCAAGTTACCCCCCCCCCCCCCCCCAAAGTTAACCGTTTGGTTAAATGTTTAGTCACATTTTRCTAGCCGAAAATTRACGTAATTACACTGTCATAGATCGAAAAATAAAATCATTCTTATAATAGTTCCTTTCACAGTTCCCTGCGCCATCTTGAAAGGTAGCCGTGCCTTTGAATCAAAGCGAGACGAACGATGACCTTGCAACGATAGAAACCTTTTTTAACACCTTGGACAATTATTCACATGTACTCTATCATTACAACGTCACCGTTCGTCTCGCCTCGATGCAAAGGTACGGCTACCTTTCAAGATGTCGCAGGGAACTGTGAAAGGGGGTTATTAAGTTTCGAAACCGAAATGAGACGAAAGGACGTTTGCATGATGGCGTCATTGACCTTTACTACCAGACTCCTTTGCACACTCTCTTTGTTCAGTTAATTAGCACCAATTGTCTTACTATTCTCATGAGGGAATACAAATTTAAATAAGAAAGGAAATTCGTGAACATCTTGGTAGTGGGAGTCAAATGACGCCATCATGCAAACGTCATGTTGTCAAGGGCAAATTCAGGAGCAGTAGATTTCGTTGATAGTCACCAGCTTGGAATCTTAAAACTAAGTAATGCAGTAATGTGAAATTTGAAGAAAAAATTTTCTACCGATCAATCATTATCCCTTATGTGTTTACAAATTGATTTTTGTACATTTKTACATAGTTTACATAAGTCCTACCCGTAATTCTTCACATTCSATGTTGATTGGTTGATTGTCTTCAGTCATGTGGACACGTTCTCTTACATTGTTCCCAGCCCCTGATGCATTATGGATACTTGTGACGTCATTGATTACTTGCTTTGCCTTGCGTATGTGCACAAACTGAGTGGGAAAAGGTTAATTTTAGCACAATTGATAAGCTTTTTGATTGGTTCATGCTCGTGGTATGATAGAATAGAGTCCACAGCATGATGGCGCGCGCTTCAACTACTTCAAGCATTTTTCAATTGCTTGGTTTCAATCAGCTAATGCCCCTTGGGCTAGACAGTAGTTCCATAGGATTATAGCAATAAAGAGAAAACATAGAAATTATAACAATTATAGCAATTAAGAGAGAAAATACTGAGAAACCAAATGAAGACTATAGCGACTTTGCACCACCACGTGATGGCAGCCATGACAAGAGGCACAACAATAGTCTTTTCCTCTGGGAAACTTATTCCTTCTCGTGTAAATCAGATTATATCAGATTCATTTATAGACCCCTTGAATGTGAAATCAAAAGAGATCAATTTGGAGGACAAAACGAAATAATTTCAATCTCCTAATAATTGGAAACCTATTGTTATGTCCATCAAATTAAGCTGCATTCCGACGTGCTGCAAGGGGTCTATTCCTGCTATCATGTCAAGTCATGATGCAAAGCCTCTCTTGTCAGTAAAATCTTCCCAGGAAACACTTCAAACCATAAAACCATAGCYCGATTTTTAATGCAATTTTCACAAACATACGAACTCTGTCTTTGCGAACTCCACGCTGAAATTTGGTTTTTCGCTGCTGTCAATCAAACCTAATGAGTCGGTATCTTTCATATTTTTTAACTGGTGGCAGCGAAAAACTAGACACAGAGTTCGCATGTTTATGAAAATCGCAGTAATGCTGAATGCATATAGGAATAAGCAAATATTGAATCCAATGAGAAATTTAACGAGAGTGAAAATCATGCAAAAAAAATCAATTTTTTTCCGGGTTCGTATTTTACCTACGCAAATCCCTTGGTCTCCTCCCGAGCCGTCTTTATTTTCGGTCCCAGATCCTCAAGGGCCCGGCGAGCAGCCGTTGTTGGAGAGGGCTCGTGGGGATCTGGGACCGAAACTAATGACGGCAGCGGAGGATGACTACAAGTCCCTAACACGTTAATGAAATTTCAATTCGATCAGGTAAATGAATTATTACCTCAGAATTCTCATTGACCACTGAGTTTTTTTACCTTGTGCACAAGAATCAATAGCATCGTCGTCGTTGCTGAAGTGTGAATGAATACGAACTCCAGGGCGAACATGACATCAGGGTTCGTGCTGTTTCGGATGGTGAACCTGATAAATGATCGATGACAAATAACAATGAGTATTTTCTTAACCAAAAAGTAACAGTGCAAATTGATTCTATCCCTTCTCTTAATCAGTGTCATAGAGAAATTTCGTACATCTGTAGAAATACATCACAATTTAAAAAGACCTCGTGCAATCTGATTGGTTAGAATAATGGCGTCATTTTCATACGTGGCAGTGTGTGCCTTGCTATTTCGCAAGCATGTGAATTCTGCTCTTTCAGGAAAAATCTAATAAGACCCGGAGTCATGAATGAATGAATGAAATCTTGATTTATCCAAGGTTATCCCTACAGTGAGGGATACTATTATCAATAGATCCTTTGAAGGCGACGTCAAAGCAGCTCAATTTGGAGGACAAAACAAAAGAATTTCCATCTCCTGAGAATTGAAAACCTATTGTTATGTCCTCCAAATAGACCTCTTGTATGTGACTTCAAAGCAGCTCAATTTGGATGACAAAACAAAAGAATTTCAATCTCATTAGAATTGAAAACCTATTGTTTTGCCCTCCAAATTGAGCTGCATTCTGACGTGCTGCAAGTGGGCCAAGGGTCCTGTATCTTACAATAGATCAATTTTACATGGYATAGAGTTTTACAGTGTACTTTTAAAATGTGCTTTACATCGAGATTTGTTCTGCTACGGTTACCTGAGCACGGTTGAAAAACACGTGACAAACATAGAGTTGTAGATGGCCCAGCTGACGAATTTACTCTCGTTGTAAGCGGAGGGCGCGTTCCTKACTCGATAACACACCAACATACCCCACGATAACAGACCAAGATCGCCTGCAAGAAATGTTATGATGATTAAAAGTTATAAACAGCAGTTAGGTTAATTTAGGGGAGTCAGGAAGGCGTGGTGGTAGACCGAGGTTCCGAGGTTCGATAACCATTGTTTGGTTAATCTCTGAGTTGGTTGGTTTTCTTTCTGACTTGGGGGGTTTTTCGGACCTCCGGTTTTTCCTCCCTCTTCTCAAGTCAACCATAACTAATTCAAACTAGTTAGAGCTGTGCGCTGGGGACATGACTGTATAGCGGCTGCCAAAGGCGCCTTTACATGCTTTCAGTACGATCCCATTGAGCTGCGCCACTGCTGTACTTGAGGTGGTGGTTAGCGATAACGTAGGTTTCTTGCAGTTCTACTAAATAGACGAAATCCACTTGGGCGTAATGTTTTTCCCATTTCAGACCASGTGTCATTCCCTTGAGAATAAGATTCTTTGTTTGAGTTGTATCCATATTCATCTGTCTTCTCATGTGCAACCGTTAAACAAAGAAACGATACTCTAGGGAATGGTCTGAACACGTGGTCTGAATTGGGAAAACGGTGGATTAGGTTTATTTACTTACCCACAATTGCGATGACTTCCAACCACTCGTTAAGAATGCAACGATCAAACATCAAACCATCGGAGGTCTTCCACTGGGATACCGTAGGTGGATTGATGTTGGTCCAAAGCAGCATGTAGATGACGTAACCCATTAAGATGATCAACAAACGACGCAACAGTACCGCATCTGTTAGCGCCATCCGCTGGGCAGAACGAACGCGGAATATCACTGCTACTCTGATAAATCGAAATTTGAAAAGAAATAAAATTTTAAAAAATTTTATATAAACAAGAACATGGCACAGAATAGGCGGACACATCCGGGACATTTCTATTGTTTTGGCGCGCGGTTCAAATCATGTTCACTTGACTGTGACTCGTTTACAGAGTAAAATTACAAGAGAAATGGCTAAAAATGGCTCAAGTAGACTCTGAAAACCAGTAATTTTGTATCTTCTTCTTAAGTTTTTTACATGGCCAAAGGGTGCAAATGGAAGTAGAGATATCATCTCGTCGTTAGGTAAAATCAAAAAAATTAAACGATAAAACTTTTTTTGAGGATTTTAACAAGAAAAAGAAGGACTTTTTAAACATTTAAGTATGGAAACATAGAGGTCGTACATCTTGATGTTGAAATATTTTGTTTTCCAAGTGAGTTGGTCGATGGCCAAAAGGT